AGTTCCCAGTTTTGAGCTATTAAGAATGTAACTGCTATGGGCATTTAGGTGCAAGTTTCCATGTGTACAATCTTTTTTCTAAAGTGTCATTTGCACAGTGGTTTGGAGGTAGCAGGAACAGAGTCTGGAAAGCATTTTGGCTGCTGGTGTATCCAAGAAATGATCAGAAGGTTGTCTTATCCAGAGCAATAGGCCCCAGGGCTGGAGAAGGGGAGAATGGACAGGTCCAAGTGTCTACAAGGTATGAGCAGAAGGAATCCCTGCTGGAACCTCAAAACCTGTTGGTGACTGATGTGGTCACCAAATACCAGTTGTTATTCTGTATATATGTCCTATAGCTCAAGAATTGGTGTCCAGAAGGATAGTCCTGAAATGCTGAGGTACCTGATTTTCCATGAAAGATTAAGTTTTATGCTATACTATTTCTAGTAAGAATTAAAGGGGAAAAAGAATATTTTGATTAAAACTTTAAGCAGGTATTGGAACAAAGAAGGTAATTTTGAAAATCTGCTTTTAATACCAATGTTTAATTCAAATATTGCATGTCCTGTATTAAGGGTTTGAGTCTATGGGTATATCAGAAGAAGAAAAAGTGTCTCGATAAGGCAGAGCTAGCAGGGTAGAATGTGAAGGTCTGTGTCTTACTGACTGGGCCTGACCAACTTCAGTTCTCTTTCCAAATTAAAGAGAGATGTTGCAGGGTTGTATTGGAAAGGACATGAATATTTAACTGAAACACCAAAATTCCAATCTGGCCCATGCCACTTCCCAGGAGGTAAGTAGGCAAATACTTTATTGTGTCTGAGCTGTTTCCTCATTTTGAAGCATGGGATAGTGCTGCACACCTATGGATTGTCAGAGCACTTTCACAACCACACCGCTCAGGGAGGGCCTGGCCCACTCTCCTGCCCAAGTCTGACAGACTCATCCTCCATATGGGTGTCAGACTGACCATCCTGCAGCTTTTCAGGATGGTTTTTTAAAAGTGATTTTTAAAAAATATCTTGTAAGGTGACTAAAAACAGACAGAATAGAAGGTTATAATGGCAAGAGTGAATGTCTCATTTCCCACCGTGTGCACTCACTAGCATATGGTGTGCGCTTGTTTCCATAGATTGCCATATACTATGTACACTATTCTCTAATTTCTGTATCCTTTACATATCGTACACATCTTTCCATATTAGTACATTAACTCTGCACTTTTTTTAATAGCTTTATTGTACTCTTTTGCCATAATTTGTTCAATTCACAATGTACATTTTAAGTTATAGAAATAATCTTGCCAGTTAGAAATACATCCTTGTACAAATATCTTGACATATTTATAGAATTGTAGTTAACCAAGTTAGGAGTCAAATGCACTTAAATTTTTTCATTAGCAAAACAAATTCTTTAGATACTATGTTTTTCTTTCAAAAAAGATTTTACCAGTTTACAGCCCTCCCTGCATGTATGAAAGTACCTGTTTCCTTGCACCCAGGTTAGTACTTACACTTAGTTCTTGCTTCCTTTAGATCTATCTCTCTCAGACTCCTTCCACCTGTTCCTCTCCTCTCCTGGACACACTGCTGGGCTCCCACCAGCAACCTGTGCATATCCCTAGGACACTCTTTTCTTTTGTGTGATAGGTGTGTTATTGGTGTTTGAGGGAAGGGTTGCCTGGTCAGCATTTTGTCAGTGGCTTCTACCCTAAGCTGGGTACACTGGAGGCCCTAAGGAAATGTTTATTTGGGGAAATTAGTACTTAGACTGTATTCCCTCTCCACTGTTCTACTGTAAAATCGTGTAACCATATAAAGCCGTAGATAAAACTTTTTATTTAAAAAGTTAATCAGAATTTAATAGTATATTTCCAGTTCCTGAAATGCTTATATTCAGAAAAATACAAGAGGTAGAGAAAATTCTTTAGACTTTACTCCTAGGCTCTGATCAAGTAGGAATGTTTCTCCTGACCAATATTTACTTATAGAACATATAGATTTTATGCCAGTATGGGGTAGGGAAGCTCCATTCTTGGGGAAATAGAGATTTTAGATTAAAGCATTTATTCATGAAGTATTGATCAAAACAGACAAGGTAGGCACTGTCTGTCATCTGCCCCCCACTCTCTCTACCCCCCCCCAACCACCTTTCAGTACCCTGCTGGGTATGCCTCTGACTTTATCCACTGGAATCCACCCTTCTCAACTTCCTACGTGACCTCAGACAAGCAAATCACAGCATTTGCTACTTGTGCTTTGATGGCTCCACAGTCCTCATTGTCAGATCCAGATGTCTCCAAGTAGCCTCCTAGGACTGTGGTGATCTGGCCTCTTTTTCTCTCTCCAGCTCCCCCCACTATTGGTGAAACTAAATCTCATATGACCTCAGCCTTTCTCACCCACTTTTTCTTCACTGACCTCAAAACTTCTCCATCCTTCGGGGTTAAAATTCCCCTTGCATTGGTTTGCTACCTAAGTGTACACTCTGAAGTTAGGCACTCTACCTGTCCTGGCACAGACCCTTGTCCACAGTGATGCTTAGGAAATTTTTCATGAAAGATCGGCATTGTTAGTGTATTATTATAGCAATAAGATGGTAGGTTGTAATGGCTACCTGCCTTTACACACAGCCTATTATTCTTTGTGTACCCCACTAGCCAAGCCAAGAAGTTCTCCATGTCTGAACAGATGTTTGTGCTCTATACCTCTACTGCCTGTCTTTTGCAAAAGAGTCCATGGTGGAGGCCACCTCCTCGAAGCTCTACTTGTCTTCAGAACCCCTGCCTTTATTTATTTATTATAATTTGCCACTTTGCCTATGGCCCTTACCTCATTGTAACTTGTAGTACAATAGAGATAACAGACACATTCCTCATACTTCTCCCCCAAATAGTGAATTATGTGCCATTTTAAAACTGATTCCAACCGATCTTGCTGTACTTCCTACATTACTTCCTACTTTCTTGTGCAGAGGCACTATATAAATGTTGGCCTGAATTGTCTATAAATAAATTAACCTTTACCTATTCCTTCAGATGTAAAAAGGAGCAGAATTTTAAGGGAATACTTAAATAGTGTATGATTAAACAAAGCCTTAGTGAATGTTTATGCTATCATCCTGTTATAGCAGTTCAGGATGCCATCCCAAACAAGACAGACCTGCCCCATGACCTCCTGAAGGCTTGGTACCCTTATCACAGCTCAGAGCAACATGGCATGACTAGGCTATTGACCTCATAGTGTAATATGGGGCTGTTGATCCTACTGTGTGGGTCTTAGTGAATAGAGTATCAGTGCATCTCATGCAGAACTGGTCTTCCAGAGCCTCTTCTAGTACACTTGTAATGACCACTGCCCTGAACATGATTAAAAAACTTGAATTGGGTCAGTTGGAGAAGCCTCATTTGACTTAAGTTATTTTATTATTATTATTTTTTATTCATACAGAACTGGGGTACAGGCCAGACATGTGGAGGCTGAGAGGATTTACCAGAGACAGAGCAGGGAGCAGAACAGGCAGATCGACGAAGTAAAGTACACTGCTGAGGGGAGCCCCAGGCGGGTCAGGAGAGGTCTGCTGTGCCATGCGGATCTCCTTCCCGGCATGGCGGGGATCGAACTCATGCGGAAGTGGCTTAAGCTTCTTAGTGCTTTGCTTTAACCCACTGCGTCACCAGGGAGGGCCCTGACTTAAGTTATTTTTTAGGCTTGTTAATTTTCCTTTATTTAATGAAAATCCTAGACAATATTGTGTTGAAATAACAATCCTCACCCACAAGAACTCACTGGGTAGATATTAAATACTAGATGATAGAACAAACAAGCAGGGATTTGCTAGAGCTATGGAATAAACCTTAAATTCTGTGTTTTTAAACAGTAGTTTACCTGTATGATTTTGTTTGCATTTTGTTGTTTTGTTTTTAAGGCAAAAAACAAATAGTTTGCTGACTTTTCAATAATTTTTTTTTTATCAGAGAAGAGCTGGAGAACCAAGTAAATATTTCCTGCCAATTTGTGTGTACTTGCTTTCTGTTATAAAATCATTCAGGCTGGGTGCACTTCCATGGGGAAGTGCACGGGATTATGGTGATGGCACACGGGTGACTTGGTGATGGGAAACCCGTGGGGATTACAATTGAGATGGGAAAAAAAAATGTACAAAATGATGTAAAAATAAACTGTTATATATATTAAAAAAATCATTCAGGCTCCTGAGAGCAGGAACGTCAGCCTCTGCCTAAGTTATACAAAGGCCTCTTGGAGTGCCAGTTTTACTCATGCCTTGTGAATAAACATTGCAGATCTCCATGCTGTAGGTTATGACAGAGTTCTGTGTCTGCAGTATCTGTGTTGAAGTCCACTAGTGATGTGGGGTTCAGGAAATGCAGGTCGGCTCTGGGATCACTCTCACGAGGTGTGAGTTCCGCTGTGAGTATATTCAGCATACGACAGAGTCCCGGGACTGTTCTTTAATCTCTTCTTTTCTATAACTTTTACTTAGGACTTAGCTTCCGGCTCATCACTGTAACCTGAGTTTGTATACTTGGCAGAAGACTGGGTCATTTCTTTTTCCATAGGAATTATAGACATAATTTTGAAACAATACCTCCCTCTTTGGTTGAGACAGCTTAGTATACTGGTTCCATGGAAATTAAACTTAATAAGAATCATATACAGACATAACTTCTCATGGTAGTAAAAATATACACAGTCTTTTCTCCAAAGTTTGTTATTTTTATTCCAGTCTTTTGAAATGTGGTCACTTAAAGGCAGGGTCTCAACGTCTGTTTCACTCTTTCACAATGGTCTTATACCACTGAAATGGCTTAGTACTTTTGTTGTGTTGCTTAAGTTCCGACTTGGTCGAGCTGAGTTTATCAATTTAGAGCTCTTTGTCTCATAAATTGGGAATACTATTACGTGAAATATAAATTTTACACAATATTAAGTAATTTATCATTTATCTTGTATAATTTCAATAAGAATGTATGTCATTCTGTTTTTCTTTTAAGGAATCTGAGGATTGTAACCAGCTCTCTGGAGTATTGTATGATACTACATCATGAGTGACAGTAAATGTGATAGTCAGTTTTACAGTGTGCAAGTGGCAGACTCAACTTTCACTGTCTTAAAACGTTACCAACAGTTGAAACCAATTGGCTCTGGGGCCCAAGGAATTGTTTGGTAAGTATGGTCTATTTCAATAGTTTGGATTGAGTTTCCTTTGTAATTAAAAGTAATCAGAATTTAGAAAATTGATGATAAAAATACTCTTCTTTGCTATAGGTTTATGAGCTAAACTGAATCAGCCTCTTGCTCTAGTTATATGTAGTCAGATTATAGTACAAACCTCAAATTTAAATAGGTTGTGGTTGTTTTTTTTTCTTTTTTTTTTCGTTTTTTTTTTTTTTCCATTACCCCTATCCTCCCCACCGTCATTATGATAGCAGAGTGATAAGTATGACAGAGAGTTATAACAGAAATTTGGAGTTTTATTCATTTCTTCATCCTGGCCACCTTTCCCCCTCCCCCTTTTACTCCCAATCACTCCTATTCATTTCTAGGCGCCGTCATTGCAGTGCCTTGCCCTTCATTGGCAGGATGAGGCCAGTCAGTGTCATTATCACCCCATGGATTAACCAGGAAGGGATGCTGTGTGAGGGGTTGGGCTGGCCGTCTCTTCCTTGGTGTCTCACTTCAACCATGTGTCCAGCCCAGGACGTCAGAACCGTTGGTCTGACCCTGAACCTTAGTCTCTTGCATGGTAAGACAGTCAGCTGCTGCGACATCACTGGCCAGCTCAAGGTAAAGTTTTTCACATGTTATCAGCACTTCCCAAACTTTTTAATCACTTATTTTTCTGGGCAGAACTTTTTTTTCTTTATTTTTTATTTTTTTTCTTTTTGGATTAATAGAAACAAGATTGTTATTGCATCTAAAAGAAACTGGTAAAGCTAACTATCCAGTGTTTACAACTTATAGGCAGAGGACATTTCAGATAAAAGAACTCTTTTGGATGTTCTAGTTGGGAAGTTTGTTTTTATTTAGAGATCTCACTTTAGGAAATCTTCCTCAGTGGTTTATTATGGATACAGAGTATCAGTAGCATCTCTGTAACCTCTCCTTACAGAAATGTGTTATTGTAGAAATTAGTTGTTTTCTTGGCTTAGGTGGTTGGAGGCCTTAGTTGTAAAGAGGAGGTTACTCTTTGAGTTTCCCAGGTAAATCAATGAGAGAGACGCAACTGTCTGGGAAGAATGCTTATCTTGTGTCTAGAAAACAGTGAACTCAACTTCTAAATGATAGCACACTACATTGGTACCTCAATCCAGTGTTACACGTTTTCAAGTGAGTGAGTGGCTCAAGTAAGAAACTTTGATGCTAATGAAAAGTCCTACTTTTTTTATTTTTGTAATTGGATGCTAATTATCAGATAGTTTGGCAAGACTGAGCTCAAGGACATGTAATAACCACATAAAGGTGCCTACTAGAAATAATAATTACAAAGTAAAAGACTTTGTAAGAGGTAGACTGTCAAAATCAGTGGTTTCATTACAGGGTGGTAAATAAGAGTGTAATATACTGTTTTGCAGAGATTAGCTTTGGTTCCCACTTTGCATACAATACTCTTCATTCTATTTTTTAAAGAAATGTTTGATAGTGAATGTATTGTTTATATGTATTTCTCATTTAAAAATTCCAGATTAGGAATATATGACATTATAATATATGACATTATAAGTTAAACTACCTCTGCCAAAAGTTGTGGTCCAAGCATTCCAGAACAAGTCCATATACCTATGGTCAGTTGAATTTTGAAAAGGGTACCAAGATTATTCAATGGGGAAAGAATAGTGTCTTCAACAAGTGGTGCTAAGACAATTGAATAGCACATGCTTGGACTGCTACATCAAATAATGTAAAAAATTAATTCAGAATGGAAAAATGACTTAAATATGAGAGCTAAAACCACATAAAGCTCTTAGAATAAAACATAGGGTAAATTTATTCATGACAGTGGATTCTCAGAAGTAACACCAGAAGCATAAACAACAAAAGAATAGATAAACTTGAATTCATCAATATTCAGAACTTTTATTCACCAAAGGACATTATCAAGAGAATGAAAAAACAAACCACAAAATATGAGAAAAGCTTTGCATATCTATTAAGAGTTTAGTATAAAGAGTATGTAAAGAGTTCTTATAACTCATTGCAAAAAGACAGTTTTTTAAAAAAGCTTGAGTAGCTATTTCTCCAAAGAAGCAGACGTACAGACAATGCATGTATGAAAAGATTCTCAGTGCTAATCATTTGGAAAATGCAAATCAAAACCACAATAAGTTTCCACTTCACACCTACTGGAATGACCATAATCAGCAAAATGGAAAATAACAAATGTTACCAAGGATGTGAACAACTAGAACTCTTACATGCTGCTGGTGAGAACTTAAAATGGTGTAGCCATTGAGAAATAGTTCTGTAACAAGTTAAACATAAAATTACTGTATGACCTAGTGAATACACTAAAGTATTATCCAGAAGAATTAAGAACAGTTGTCAAAACATAACCTTTTATGTAAATGCACTGCTTATAACAGCTGAAGATAAAACAGCCCATATGTCCATTAGTGGATGAGTGGAAATACAAATTGTACTATATACATACCTGTATATTATTCACTGTTAAAGAAAGAATAAAGCAGTGATATGTACTCTAACATGAATGATCCTCGAAAACATGTCAAGCAAACAAAGCCATTCACAAATGGTCAAATATTTTGAGTCTATAGGAAATAACCCAACCATGTGAATCCATAGAGACAGATGAAGATAACAGGTAAATAGGGTCAAGAGGAAGGAGGGCGAGGATAACAACAGTTTAATGGATATGAGATTTCCTTTTGGGGAACAAAAATCTTTTGGAATTATATAGATATGGTGACTATACATCATTATGAATGTACTAAATGCACTAAATGATTCACTTTAAAGTGTTTTTTTTTATTGATGTGAAACTCAGTAAAAAATATTTTTGGAAAATTACATTGCAAAGTGCCTTAAGCTAAGGATATTTGTCATTTTTTGTTGGATATTTAATTGTTGTATAGTATTTAGCAATATTTTCATGTAATACATAGAATGTGCTGTAATTTTCTCATAGTAGCTTAAGCATACCAGAATTTGAACAGTAATTTCACTAACTGTTATTTTTATTTTAATGATTTTATGACAGTAATATTTGTAGGAGTCACTTTCATCTTACAGAAGGTATGAAGAAAGAATTGTGTACAGGCTAAAAATTAACATCACTCTTAATATAATTTCTTACAAATTCCCATTTTCCATTGTCTGAGTTTTGATTCTAAGGAAAGATCAAAACTGTATTTTGCTTTTTTCTGTTGAAGAAAGATGTGATTAATTTAAACTTAGCAAAGCAGCTCTCAATGAATTTACACATAGATGATAGTTTATCACATGACACTTGTTGTCTGTTGGTTCTTTTACTTTTGTAACCCAAGCCAGTTACCCACTAACAAATATAAATCAGTTTTACTGGCTATATGACAGTTGAGCCTGCATGGTTGGACAGTTGTTTTCTATTATTAATTGCTACTTTCTCACAGAGTTGGCTTCTTGGCTGGAGAGATGGACAACTACTCCCTGTTTTCCTTGAGGCTTTGTGGGCCCACTGAGTTGCAGGAGTGGTTGTACTGGAAGTGATAGTCCTGAGATTTCAGGAAAGAAACTTTCCCCAACATAATTACCCCAGCTGTCTTTTGAGAATTTTTTCTCACTCTGTTTTGCACAGCATCTTGGATATTGACATTATGCTAAGGTCCTCACTAGAAGTACTCTGTACATATGGTACAAAGAGAAGTCTTTTATCATCTTGCTATTTGGTTAGAAGAAGAAATTTATGAAGGGTACTGATCAGATCCTTTCCTTCCCCATCAGTGATGAAAAACCTAAGCATTCCCATCATCAAGCAGTGATTCCAATATCTCCTCTCCAGTGTTCCTCTCCTTTCACCAACTGTATCTCCTGGTTGGATTCTCACAGTGTCCATGTCTTTAAATACTTACTTTGTTTATGAAACCACCCCACCCAGATAATCTCTGAATATGCTTGGAATAGAGCCTTCTCTCTTATTAAATTTTGATTGATATATCCACACTCCATAACTGTAAAGTAATAAATTTGTGTTTCAAACCAATAAATTTGTGGTAATTTGATATAGCAACAATAGGAAACTACTACAGGGAGGGGACATGTGTGTGTTTACATTTTAGATATATAAAATGGTCTAGTAGCAATAATGCATTGTTATAAAACCAATTAATCATCTATTAAAACTAAAGCTTTATAAAGATACAGGAATAGATGTGCAGATAAACCAAAGTGTGGGTAGAACCAGTGACTTTACAGGAAAAGCTGGGACCAGAATAAAATATTCTTTCTCTCAATTATTTTTATAGTTGTCTTTGATTTGATCTGTGTTTTTGTTGTTCATTAATGTTAATAAAATATATTAGGAAATAACTTTTAAAGTGTTTTATCATTTTAAAGTACTCATAAGTATTGACTAAGTTATATAGTAAAATTAAGTAATTGCAAGATTTTGAAGCTCTAGTGGGAAAAATATATGTGCATTCCTCCCACATATCATTATTATGTATGAATATATTTCTTATATATGAATATTTGTCATCTATATATTTAGCTTTTTCTCACACTAAAATCTCAAATTGTTCAACCAACCAGTAAAGTCTGTTGGTTTTATGAGTAGTCCTATTACATGTTTCACTTTTTAAAAAGTACTTATAAGAGCTTAATGTAAGGTGTGCTGGTTACAACTGGAACATGAAATAGTTGGCAGAGCTCTTATTCCTTTTTGCTTCCTCACTCTATATATGCAGGACCATTGGCCTGTTCTTGCATTGTTTTATTTTCTATTAATATAAATAAAAACAGTTTCTAAAACAAAATTCCTATGATGCAGTAGATGATATGGCAAAAGACACAGAAAGGAGAATAGATGTCTAAGTCCAATTTTGTTTGTTCCTTAGTATTTGTTTATGATCTTGGGCATATCTTTGTATCCATGTTGACTTTTGTATTTTCACTTCTAAAATGAGTGATATGTAACTTTTATTTTAAAATAGTTGATCAAATAAACAAAG